ACACACACACACACACACATACACACACGCACACACACGCACGCACGCACACACACGCACGCTCGACACACACACACACACGCACGCACGCACGCACACACGCACGCACGCACGCACGCACGCACGCACGCATGCACGCACTATGCATGCACGCTTGCACTCGGGCATGCACGCAGACACGGTGGATTTCACGGTTTTGTAATCGTTACTGGTAATATATCTATAACCTGTCTATAACGTGAGCAGGATCAATGTAGTGTCCGTAGTACGTGCGTCTGCACGTCACATCTGTCGTATATCACATTAGCCTACATATTCCCTTCTGTACGACAATGGGAAGGGACATTGTATGTGTGTAATAGCTAAACTCATGTATGAGGATGCAATGCTTCTGTGTGGCACATGTTAAGGGCCGGACACACCAGGCGATGCCATCGCCCGACGCCATCGGCCGATNGTATACCGGACCGTACCCAGGGTACATTCCGGCAGTACCCCGTGGGACATAGACCCTCTCAGCATAAGTAATGCTTGTCATACTGTGACACTCATCCCACCTGTCCCTAACCACACCTACAGACACAAATAATAGCCTGTGACTGCAATATGCCAGACACATACAGACATATACACACATCTGCAGATACACATCTGCAAATTCAGATGCCAAAATGCGGCATGGACTACATACCATCAGGAGCGTATAATGACAAATATATATTTGTTATTATACGCTCCTGATACCATGCATCTACAGACACACATGCGGACACCAACTTGTGAAATGGCAGACCCCTCTAGACACCGAATAATGAAATAATCTAAAATATTTATCTACGACGACCATGTCCGGGCGAAGAGTCCACACCGTCAAGCCTTCCGCGGTCAGCCTAAAACCGCAAACACCATCGCCCATCTCCCCCTCTCTTACACACACACACAATTCCGGTGATGATGACTGTGTTAGCTTAGCACGCTCGTATGTTTTTTCGTATTCCCTGAGGAGTCTGCACAATCTACGGCTAGTGCAGCCGCTCTCGCGTGGTTGTCGTTCCGGCCGCAGCCGCTGGTCAATCCGAATGCAGTCGATCGAGCGGGATGTCAGGCGTGTAATGTAAATTTAATCTAAAATCTTATTTCTCAAAAGTAATGTAGTTCCGTATTTGCGCGGGTAAAAGCTCTCGTACACGCGGTACGAGATAGAAGAACGGTCTGCCTGTGCTAACCTTCTTGAAGTAATATAGTTCTTTTTTCCCGAGTGAAAACCATTCTTACACACGCGCACGAGAGAGAGAGAGAGAGAGAGAGAGAGAGAGAGAGAGAGGATTCGAGCAGAGAGATAGATAGCGAGAGAGAGCGCGTCGCGACGAGAGCAGAGAGGTTGTAGTCGGAGTCGCTCAACGTCCCTATTGCCCTAACCCAAACTTTGCAAGGCATTTTGAAGTGGTTTAGATCTCAATGCTTCTCTCGGTGTAACCTTTCTTTCGTGCACGCGATAGAGGAGCACTGCCATTCATCTGTCTGCACTAGCAGAAGGCTTCTTATGATATAGTTCCATGCTTCCCCGAAAGAAAACCTTTATCATGCATACGCGAAATCATCAAGTGACCCTCATGCTTAACCACGGCTTCTTTAAGTTATATATAGTTCCATATTTTGCCGCGTGAAAGCTTCTCTCATGCACACGTATATGAGAGAGAAGCACCTCTCGTGTTGAGCGAAGTCTTCTTTGAGTAATATACTTTTGTATTATTTCCCCGAGTGAGAACTTTTCTTGCAGGCCTTTATGAGTCACCTCATTTTCTTAATGACCCGGGGCCCGTCGTCAGAAACAAAATGAATTAGTTTCAACATTAGCCTTAACAATTAACATGAACGTTTTCTCGTAGACCGTTGACAGAAACATCGTACGGGAAGTAATTACGAGAATGAAAAATCCTCGCAAATTTCTTCTTAACAATACGAGATCCTATAGAGCCTCTCATAACATTAACATCAGTCATAAGTGTTATCTTAATTAACACTAACATTGGGCGTAACTATTTGATGTTTCTCTCTGTTTTGACAGCGTGTGCTGCCGATCGCTGGGGAAGCAACTGTGAGAACCTGTGTCAGTGTTACAATGGCGGAAGTTGCGTTCCATCGACCGGAGTCTGTCAGTGTGCTCCTGGTAAGTCAAGCAGCAGCAGCAGCAGCGTCTCAACGTCATCATCATCATCATCATCATCATCATCATCATCATCATCATCATCATCATCATCATCATCATCGTCATCATCGTCATTGCCATCGTCATCAACAGCAGTAGCATTACAGGCACCAATATCAGCTGCAGCAGTAGTAGCAGCAGCAGTGACAGTAGCAGAAGCAGCAGCAATAGCATCAGAAGCAGCAGCAATAGCAGCAGCAGCAGCAGCAGCAGCAGCAGCAGCAGCAGCTGCTGCACCAATACTGTCACCACCACCACCACCACCACCAGCAGCAGCAGCAGCAAAGCTATTGTCCTGCACATTAATACGCAAATGGCGGCGGCTTATGTCAATATTTTATGATCATTTATTTGCCGAATGACCTTCACCACTCACCATAGCACGAGGAAATACGACCGTTTAAATTGTGGTCGTTAGCAAGAAAATGCCGGCTCTCTCAATTCTTATCTATTTCCGACAACTTTATTGAGCTGTTATGTCTGAGACGTCGGCATGAAACGAGCTGAAAACTAGTTTAAAAGCGGCAGAAAGGTAAATCGGTCCATTGAAGGCGGAAGTCAACACGCGCATGCGGAGGGCAGAACAACATTTTTCCCGTGTCATCGTTAAACAGTCCGCACCGTGACAAATATCCACGAGATGTTGTTTGGCCGTTCGCGGAACGAAAAGTAATTCAAGTAGATTAAACTCTCATGCACCCACTGCTTCGCAAATCCGTCCCTCGGTGTTTCGACATGCTTCTTCTTCTACCCCGCAGGTTGGCATGGCGACGACTGCAGCCAGCCGTGCACGGAGGGCACTTATGGCGCCCTCTGTCTTTCTGCGTGCAAGTGTAAGAACAACGCCACCTGTGACCACATGAGCGGCGCGTGCACGTGCAATCCTGGATTCCGTGGTCCCCTGTAAGTATGACAAGCTCCTGTCACCCCCTGTAAGTATGACAACCCCGTGTAAGTATGACAACCTCCTGTAAGTATGACAAGCTCCTGTAAGTATATGACAAGCTCCTGTCACCCCCTGTAAGTATGACAAGCTCCTGTCACTCCCTGTAAGTATGACAAGCTCCTGTCACCCCCTGTAAGTATGACAAGCTCCTGTCACCCCCTGTAAGTATGACAAGCTCCTGTCACCCCCTGTAAGTATGACAAGCTCCTGTCACCCGTTGTAAGTATGACAAGCTCCTGTCACCCGCTGTAAGTATGACAAGCTCCTGTCACCCGCTGTAAGTAGGACAAGCTCCTGTCACCCCCTGTAAGTAGGAAAAGCTCATTTGGCCCCCTGTAAGTATATGTAAAGCTCCTGTCACCCCTTGTAAGTACACTGCACACTACACGGACTGTAGGAGCAGCATGCTTACAGCGCCATGGTAGAGTCAGTTACAGGATGCCACGCGGACGGGCGGTTCTGTTAAGGTGGTACATTCATTTCCCTCTCTCTGTGGTACAGGCCTGGCTTAGAATGGCAGTGCTATAAGAGGGTGAAAATAATCTATCTTCTTGGTAGATTCACTTTACTTGGCCGGGGACAGGCCAGGGGTAGTATCCGCTCTTGGTAGTATGGAAGTATGTTATAAGTAAGCGGACTAGATCCATTAGAGCTGTACTCTTACATTACTTACTACGTGCAGTGAGTTGAGTGGGCGTGCACGCAATCGATTCCTCATGGAGCTGGGAGCCCCTGCTGCTGCGTCAGATGGCTCTCTCTCTCTCCCTCTCTCCTCCTCATCTTCCCCCTCTCTCTCTCTCTTTCTGCTTCTCTCTTTCACTCTCTGTCTTACTCTCTCATCATCTCTTCCGTGTCTCTGTCTCTCTCTTTCTCTCTCTTCCTTTCTCTCCCTCTCCGTTCTCTCTGTCCCACTTTTCTTCTCACGTTCTTTTACTGTCTAACTCTTCCCCTGTCTCTCTTTCGATCTTTCTGTCGCTTTCTATTCTCTCTTTCTCTCACTATCTCTCTCCTCTCTCTCTCTCTCTCTGTTTTTTCCTCACAGTCACAACGCCCATCTCTCGCTGTCTCTCTGTCTCTCTCTCTTTTTCTCTCTATTCCTCTCTCTCCCTTTCCGCTCTCTCTCTCCCTCTCTCTTTTCTCTCGCGTTCTCTCACTGTCTAACCCACCTCACCCCTCGTCCCTCTCTCTCTCTCAGTGTTACAAGTGTTTCTCGCTGGGCCGTGTTGCAGATGCGAGGAACGCTGTCCCGAGGGTACACACGGAGCGAACTGCGGTGGCACCTGTCAGTGTCAGAACGGCGCGACGTGTGACGCAGCGACGGGGGAGTGCCACTGTCGGCCAGGATGGACCGTACGTAAAAGCCTAGAGCAGACTTGCGACTTTTTCATGCAACTCGGCTGCGATTCTGGAATCGCAGTCGAAATTGCTGTGAAATCGTCATGTCTGCGGGAACGTGCAACTGCAACTCATAGCAATTCTGGTCGCTTGCAACGAGTTGCAAGAAATCAAACTGTTTTGATTTTGAGCGACTCGTCGCTCCCAATCGCTTCCAAATTGCTCTAGAATTGCTTCAAACTTGCATGTGTGCGCACACGCGGCGACACATCGACCGATCGCTTGCGGTTGCAGGTTGCAGCGAGGAGCAACCAAAAATCGCAGCTCTGCGCTAGGCTTAACTCACGCGTGGTGGCGTCACCACTGTCTCCTCCCCCGGTGTCTTTGTCCCTTCCTCGCGATCTTTCCATTACTCCTCTCTAGCTTTCGTTTGCTCTCGTTTTTTCTCTCTCGCTATCATTTTCTTTCTCTTCTTCATTCTCTCTTTCATTTCTTACTATCTATCTGTTATTCTTATCTATCTCTCTCTCTTTCTCTCGTTCTCTATTATGCTCAAGCTCAATGAGCAACAAGCTCTGTTCATCTTTCTCTCTCTCTCTCTCGTTCTCTCTCATGCTCTCTCTCTCTTATCTCTCATTCTTCTATCTCTTATTCATGCGTGCTTTCTCTATCGTGCTCTTTCCCTCCTTTCTTCCTTTCCCATTTATCTTCTCTCTCTTTTCCTTCCCCTCCCTCCTTCCGCCTCTCTCCTCTTATCTGTTCCTCGCCTTGTGATAATCTGTCATCAACGCCCTACATCCGTCCATACATCACGTACCACCATGCAGTTTATATCATCTGTGTAGCTTTGCCCAGTGGTGATGCCAAAGGCTTTGATAGAGTGCGAGTTTTTGTGTCACGCAAAAGTGGAGCTTTTGAAAAAAATTCCGCAGCGTTGACTCACCAGCTCACGTGCGCATGTGCGTTTACTGTGAATCACAGCGGGTGGTAAAGTGCGAAGAAAGAGGCTGCTGCTTCTTCGTTAAACAATTAATGACCTTCGGCTTGTTAACTTGCAAATTGCGCGACGGTCGATTCGTTGCCCATCTCGGCGATGGCTGCTGCATCACTGTCTTCAGTACAGCCATTAAATAAGTAAAATAATATGAACACATTGGGAGTAAACTGAGAAAAAATTCAAGATAGCACATCTGCAGTGAACGTGATATTACTTTGCTCCTCGGTTTGCGATGTACTGCAGGCAAGCAGTTCACTGGCCGGTTGGTTTCGTGTTTTCCCCCTGCAGCCGCTGCAGCCGATGTTTACTCTAGGGAGGAATTTCGCCTAGTAGCATCTTAAGAGCATTGCTAATAATAGCTGCGAGTAATAAGAGAGAACCAAGCGGAAGTTTTTTCCGGCAATAATTTTATTTGGTCGTTGACGGTTCTGTGTAACGCAGGGCCCCGTGTGTGCGAATCCGTGCCTAGAGGGCCGGTACGGCGACCGCTGTCTGCAGCCATGTTTGTGCTACAATGGCGCCATCTGTGACCACGTCAACGGCAGCTGTGTGTGTCTACCTGGATTCATCGGTGACAAGTGTGAGGTAAGAGAGAGATAGATAGGGCAAGAGAGAGAGAAAGGGTGGAGTGAGTGAGAGAGAGAGAGAGAGAGGGCAAGAGCGAGAGAAAGGGTGGAGTGAGTGAGAGAGAGAGAGAGGGCAAGAGCGAGAGAAAGGGTGGAGTGAGTGAGAGAGAGAGAGAGAGAGGGCAAGAGAGAGAGAAAGGGTGGAGTGAGTGAGAGAGGAAGAAAGAGAAGCAGTGAGAGAGAGAAACCGAGAGAGGAAGGGTGGGGTGCGTGGGAGAGAGAGAGGCATACAGAGAGGGGAGGAGAGAGAGAGACAAAGAGAGAGAGAAAGGGTGGGTGTGAGTGAGAGAGAGAGAGGGGGCAAGAGCGAGAGAAAGGGTGGAGTGAGGTGAGAGAGAGAGAGAGAGGGCAAGAGCGAGAGAAAGGGTGGAGTGAGGTGAGAGAGAGAGAGAGAGGGCAAGAGCGAGAGAAAGGGTGGAGTGAGTGTGTGAGAGAGAGAGAGAGGGCAAGAGCGAGAGAAAGGGTGGAGTGAGTGAGAGAGAGAGAGAGAGAGAGGGCAAGAGCGAGAGAAAGGGTGGGTGTGAGTGAGAGAGGAAGAAAGAGAAGCAGTTAGAGAGAGAGACCGAGAGAGGAAGGGTGGGGTGCATGGGAGAGAGAGACCGAGAGAGGAAGGGTGGGGTGCGTGGGAGAGAGAGAGGCATACAGAGAGGGGAAGAGAGAGAGAGAGAGAGAGACAAAGAGAGAGAGAGAAAGATGAACAAAGCTTGTTGCTGAATGTTTGTCTTCGCCTCACTAAAGCTACTAATCCGTAAAGCCATAATATATATAAAATATATACTACTAGTACTTATGTATATATATATGTGTGTGTATGTGTGTTAGGGCGTGCGTGCGGGTGTGTGCGTGCGTACGTGCGTGCGTGCGTGCATGCGTGCGTGTCTGTATGTGTGTACATGTGTATTGGCGTATATTGTCTAGACTAGTTCTGCCACCGTTGAGCCAGAAGAACATGCAATACGTCGCTGTGACATCTCACTGGCTGCGTTGTTTGCTCGTCGTAACGCCGCTGTCGTCTGCTCATAGGAGACTTGCCAGATCGGTAGCTACGGCAACGGTTGCCGCGAGCGATGCGCGTGCGACAACGGCGCCACCTGCCTGTCGTCGAATGGCAGCTGCGTGTGCGACGACGGCTACGAGGGCGCCCTCTGCCAGCAGAGAACCTGCCCCGATGACAGATTCGGCCCTGACTGCGTTGAGACGTGCCAGTGCACACCAGGGGGCGCCGAGAGGTGAGTCGGTAGCCATGGCGATGGAAAGTAGGGATGTCGTTGGCGGCGTGAGAGGAAGTCTGCGCGACACGAGAGAGTATGTCACGTGGGCCGGAGTGAAAGTGTGTACATATCCTGCGTTTGAGCGTGAGCGAATGCAAGAGAGAGAAAAAGAGCAAGCGAGAGAGAGAAACAGAGGAAGCGAGAGAGAGAAACAGAGGAAGCTTGAGAGTGAGTGAGAGAGAGAGAACGATAGAGCGAGCAAGCCAGAGAGAGTGAGAGGGAAGAAGAGAGAGAGAGAGAGAGAGAGAGAGAGAAGAGAGAGAGAGAGAGAGAGAGCAAGAGAGAGGATAGAGGGAGCAAGCCAGAGAGAAAAGACGAGAGGAAGAGAGAGAGAGAGAAGAAGAGAGAGAAGAGAGAGAGAGAGAAGAGAGAGAGAGAAGAGAGAAGAGAAGAGAAAAGAAAGAAGAGAGAGAGAGAGAGAGAGAGAGAGAAGCAAGAGAGGAAGAGAAGAGAGAGAGAGAGAGAGAGAGAGAGAGAGAGAGAAGAGAGAGAGAGAGAAAAAAGGAACAAGAGCTTGTTCAAGAGCAATGCAGGGACGTAACGTATTGCAGGAAATTCTGTGTAATTATCCTGTAGTTAATTGTTTCACGCGAACGATATATCATTAGCAAAAACGTTTTGAGAGGAAGTCCTGGGCGACACGAGAGCAGTACGTCACGTGGGCCGGAGTGAAAGTGTGTACATATCCTTCGTTTGAGCGTGAGCGAATGCAAGAGAGAGAAAAAGAGCAAGCGAGAGAGAGAAACAGAGGAAGCTTGAGAGTGAGTGAGAGAGAGAGAAGGATAGAGCGAGCAAGCCAGAGAGAGTGAGAGGGGGAGAGAGAGAGAGAGAGAGAGGAAGAGAGAGAGAGAGAGAGAGAGAGAGAGAGAGAGAAAAGAAGAAGAAAAAGAACAGAGCTTGTTCAGAGCAATGCCGGGACGTACGTATTGCAGGAAATCTGTGTAATATCCTGTAGTTAGTTCTGTCACGCGACGATTATCTATTATGCAAAAACGTTCTATCGTTTGATTTATGATGTGTAAAATGGCAAACTCAGCAATCATGCGCCTGTGTGTACAAAGTGGTAATAAATATAATTATTTATGAGACATTCTGTTTAACTCTTGTTGGCAAGATAAAAACGTGAGCGTTGTTAGCAGTTTCTTGATATTATTTCTCTAATGTATTTATAGTTAGGTAATTTCAGTAAAGTTTAAATGGAATTAAATTAACTGAAACAAAATTCATGAAAGTGGCTTAAAACCTCAAGTTACTTTGGGGTACTACCAAAGCAAGACATAGGTAGAAAACCATGTTCTAAATAACATCATATTGATATGAACGCATGAAATGTATTTTTAGGTCAGGATGATAGGTCGGAAAATTTATAGTGATGTTTAACTAAACTTCAGTCATGCAGTATCTCGCAATTTCATATATTGTAGTCATATATAATAAATAATTACACTTAATAATGTAACGTATTTTAATATTCTTTATGATACTATATTATTGAATAGTATTATACACTATTACACAGTATTATATAATATTGTATAGTATTTATAGTAATAATAGCACTCTGGTGTATTTAACAAAGATGGACAGAGGGTTAGTTATAGTTTCCTTTCTGCGCATTAAAGGCACGTTGACGTGGTTGTACGCGGGCGGCTGTCAGTACCGCCTGTCGTCTGCTTCGCCGCGTCTGCCATCGTTCATTGACGCGCGTCACTCTCCCTCCACAGCTGTCACTCACGCACGGGCGCGTGCAAGTGCCGGCCTGGCTTCGCGGGCCCGACCTGTGGCGCCCCCTGTGCGGCCCTCACCTACGGCGCCGGCTGCAAGGAGAAGTGCGAGTGTGAGAACAGCGGACTGTGCAACCCTGTAGATGGCGGCTGTGGCTGCGAGCCGGGGTACATTGGTGATCGGTGAGTAAAGGGTGTGAGGGTGGGGAGAGAGGGAGAAGGGGAGAGGGGGAGAAGGTGCGAGAGAGGTAGTATGGGGAGAAGTGTAGGTGGCAGTTGCGGACGTGGGCCATGGTGCCACGGTGATCGGTGAGTAAAGGGTGTGAGGGTGGGGAGAGAGGGAGAAGGGGAGAGGGGGAGAAGGTGCGAGAGAGGTAGTATGGGGAGAAGTGTAGGTGGCAGTTGCGGACGTGGGCCATGGTGCCACGGTGATCGGTGAATAAAGGGTGTGAGGGTGTGGAGAGAAGGAGAAGGGGAGAGGGGGAGAAGGTGCGAGGGAGGAAGTATGGGGAGAAATGTATGTGGCAGTTGCGGACGTGGGCCATGGTGCCACGGTGATCGGTGAGTAAAGGGTGTGTGGTTGGGGAGAGGGGGAGACTCAGGAGAGGGAGAGAAGGTGCGAGGTAGTGCCCTTTCCTTGTATTGTTGTCCTTCTCAGCGTTTGGTGTGTAGATAGTATGTGAGTGGGGAGAGAGAGTGGGAAAACTAGTCACCGCCACAGAATATTATGTGTGTCGTGATGGCACCAATGTATACATACGTCATGCCAAGTGCGTGGGTTGTTGTATACATAACATCAAGAGTAGATAATAACACATTAACACATGTGTTATTATCTACTCTTGATAACATCGTGTTCTTTCGATATCAGACTTTACATGCATAGCTGCGCACGTAGCAAAATAAATATGAGAAGCACGTGATGGCTTTATTATATATAGGTATACCTAGCGAGCAAACCTAGAAGCAGGATCAATAGTGCAGGCGTACAATAGTTCATTCTTCTGTGATATGTATACGCTTGCCCGAACTGAATACACGAAACTGTGTGCTCTATCTAATGGCGTTCACACGTGTTCGCTCGAAAAACTGGTTAAATGTTATTAGTCACGCCCAATTCTGTCCGACCCTGAAAGCTGAATACAACTGTTTGGCACCTAAGTAAGTAAGCACAATGCGTGTAATATTAGGCGTTTCGTAGAAATTCACGATTATTGTTTACTTTATGATTCGTCGCTGCAACAGATGAGCTGAGTTCCGTATCCATATTGACGTAGTTATTAATTTTCCTGAAAGTAAGGGAATACGTAACTACAGAATAATTTCCCGTAGCCTCTATGTTTGGTAATTGATAGGAAATCGCTTGTGTGCGAATCGCCTCCCCTCTACCTTGTCGTTCTCAAGGATTTTATCTCACGCAAGAAAATTTAGCGCTTGCTGTCAGCTTGTTTTTCTATGTACTATCATCGTTAGAAGAAATAAGAGGGCTGGGGGTGAGCTATAGATTCCCTGTGCTCGTGTATAAATATGTCGCGTGTGCGTGCGTGCGTGCGTGTGTGCGTACGTGTGTGTGCGAGAGTGTGTGTATACGACTGCGTGTGTGCTTGCTTGCGTGCGTGCGTGCGTGCGTGCGTGCGTGCGTGCGTGCGTGTGTGCCTGTGTACGTGCGTGCGTGCGTGCGTGTGTGCTTGCGTGCGTGCGTGCATGCGTGTGTGCCTGTGTACGCGCGTGCGTGCGTGCGTGTGTGAATGTGTGTGCAAGAGTGTGTGCATACGTGCGTGTGTGCTTGCGTGCATGCGTACACGCGTGTGTGCTTGCGTGCATGCGTACACGCGTGTGTGTGCTTGCGTGCATGCGTGCATGCGTGTGTGTAGCTCAATCTATCTACATGCGTTTCCTCTTTCTCCAGGTGCGAGCGGCCGTGCCCTGTCGGAATGTTTGGCATGAACTGCACCCAGCAATGTCTGTGCGAACGCAACGCCACCTGCTCCCCTGTCAGCGGCTTCTGCTACTGTCCAGCCGGTAGGTGGCGCCACACGTACCACCCGCTCTCACCGCACCCCGGCGGTGTAGCGCGGTTTTATGTAATGTACCAGCGAATGACTATTTAACCAGGCAAAACCCTGATTTTGCAGTTTGAATTAAAATGTTTGCAGGCTGTGTTTTAATTCGAAATTAGCCCCGAAATTTGAATCAATGATTCTTTCAGCGGCAGTTTTGAAAGTTGAAGTGTTTACCACGGAGTTTGAGTGACCCTTCTGTGCAGATATGACGGTATTCAGTTTGAGAGATGATTTTGACATCCCCGAGTGACGAGGGGCATGGCTAGGTGTCGTAACACGTGGGCTGTTGTTCTCTAGTCGTCATTTCTCACGTAATTTGCGTGTTTCTTACACTGTCACTCTAGTGCTATCATACTCGCTGGGGGGGGGGGTGAACTTGAGCAAGGTTGGAGAGGGCCACAGCGATTTACTGAGCAAATATGTGATGAAAATTTTTTCTTTATGATCTATAAAGAAATCGATAATTTTTTTCTATCCGATGGAAAGGTTGGCTACGTCTACTTTTTTCGGCTGCAGATCAGCTTGTTCACGAATAGTGAGAATGTGTTAGATTGACGTTTGCTTTATTATTCGTGGACTTCTCGTGTGCGCGTTCTGCTGTGTCCAGTGGCGTAGCTAGGATTTTTTCAGCGGGGGGGCACTGGGGGGGCCTTACATTTTCGTGGGGGGCACAATATATAATTTTACTGAGATGTGGTTCGAACCCTCTTTCTTTGTATTATACTGTTCTAACGGCATTGTTTTTAATTCACTTTTTTTTTTATCAAGCATGAATTTTCAGTGGGGGGGCACAGAAAATTAGTGGGGCACGTGCCCCCCAGGCCCTCCCGTAGCTACGCCCCTGGCTGTGTCACCAGCCTGGGCTGTGCGTTGAACGTGGCCGGGTTACATTATGTACTCGTATTTATCTGTGTACTGATCTCTCACGTTTATTCGTGGGTTCACCAGGCTGGACAGGCATGCACTGTGAGCTGCCCTGTCCATCGGGATCCTACGGCGAGAACTGCAACATCACCTGTCTGTGTGAGAACGGAGCGTCGTGTAACCGCCTCACCGGCACGTGCACGTGCAACGCCGGCTACACGGGGCCCGCCTGCAACGTCACCTGTCCCGTAAGTATATATACATATATACATATATATAATGACAATATGTATGTCCTGGGTGCGAAATTAACGGTTTTAACGAAATTAATTCAAATACTCCCTGATTTACTGTCGGACTCCCTGATTTGACATATGCAGGAGTCCGTGTGACTCCCTGAAAATTCTGTCATACTAACTAGTTCGTTCCGGAGCACGGCCTCGCGGAATTACTGTATTTGTTCAGCTAATGTCCAAAGAAATTTTGGCAGACGTGCAACTGCATTAATTTTAAAAATAAGCACATGCGTTATTGTTAATATCTTTAATTTTGAACCTCAGACTGCGGACTTCCTCATTTTGCTGCGGACTCTCTCTTTTTGAGGGTAGGGAGTCCGTTGGACTCCCTTGTTCAAAAGTTAATTTCTACCCCTGCAGTACTGTCTGAGTGTATATAGTGAATAGATGAGCGATCATGTTGATGATGTATGTACCATCTGCCATCTGTCCTGTAGGCATACATGTACATGTCCATAACACATACGCACGCGCACACGCACACGCACACGCACACGCACATCACACACACGCACACACGCACGCACGCACGCACACACAAGCACGCACGCACGCTGGCACGCACACACGTGGCACACCAGACACGCACCTGACCCATTAGACTAGTACAGACACGAACACCTCAAAGCAAACATCGCCTGCACAGTAGAATCCCGCCTCGCATATAGGGTATTATGGTGATATGTATGGTCGGTCACCTATATATGCCAATTAGCACGTGTAGCATGTGTCATGTGTGTCAGTGGTCCACACAGTCACTGCCTACCAGCTGGTGCAGTACGTGTCACATGTTATTGTCATTGCGTACAACCTGTGGGCCTAGAAAGGTTAAAGATGACAGCTGTGTATCAGCCTGACAGATGACGGCTGTGCCTGTCAGATATAATCGTTAGGTCGGATGTTCTTAATGATCTCAAGGTATAGGTATTATTGCTAAAATCGTGTGGACGTAATATCATTAAATAACTAGAGCACTCGGAGAGCGCAGACCTCCGCCAAAGAGCTTATAATGATAATAATCATATATAATCAATCATCTTATAATATATCATTATAAGCTCTTTGCCTCTGCCAAGGCAGCTCAATTCTCTCACTGTGAAAATTTTATTAATTAATTAATGAATAATTATTGGATGCGGATGCAGCACCAATCAATGCTAATAATATCTAAGTTACACCCATTTCTGACCTGTCTTCTGAAAATTTTACATATTAATTTAATTAATGAATTGGATGCCGCAGATCACCACCAAAATCGCTAATCCAATTCTAAGTAGCCCATTTCTGACCTATCCCTGAAAATTTTTATGACAACATTCATAACTTTTTCAGTTAGCTGTACACAAACAAAAAACGACGCAAACGCACACAAATCCAACAAACACACCCGGGCTGAAAACATAAACCTTCCTGCCAACCCCTTGGCGGAGGTAATTAGTATATTATATTTAGGATTGTCACTTCTTCTAGTCGAGGTGAAAGACAGCTCAGCACATTTTATTATACTAACTTAACGTAATCATTTTTCAATAATTGATTTAATTTTAATATAGTGACTTTTTTTAATTATATTATTTTTTAATATTGCATTTAATTTCAATGTAGTGGCTTAATATAATTTTTTTTAATAATGTGTAATTAGTGATAATAAAATACGATACATATAATAGTTAAATATATTTGTAATTTTAATAAATTAAAATAAATAATGCAGTTTATTTCCTCTCGTAGAGCATGTCGTATGGGTTTGGCTGCCTGCAGACGTGCAGCTGTGTGAATGCTAATGGTTGTGACGTGGCAACAGGCGTCTGCCATTGCCGACCTGGATGGAAAGGTAGGTCCTGTCACGTATTATAAATCGTGCATATCATCCTGTTATGTGTCAATAGTTGTGACGTATACATATGTATATGTATACACATAGCCATCCCTACTGTCACAAGTTGTACGTGACTTGTTCATCTTTATTATCACAAGTTGTGACGTAGTCATCTCTATATTCGTGCAATAAATTGTGACTATAATTTTTTTTTTTTGTCATTCTTATTACACAAGTTGTGACGTAGTCATCTCTATATTGTCATAAATTGTGACATATTGTCATCTTTATTATCACAAGTTGTGACGTAATCATCTCTATATTGTCATAAATTGTGACATATTGTCATCCTTATTATCACAAGTTGTGACGTAGTCATCTCTATATTGTCATAAATTGTGACATATTGTCATCCTTATTATCACAAGTTGTGACGTAATCATTCCTATTGGCTGTGGACAATTTGTATCCTGACTAGACATTATATATGATTAGATTTATCTGTGTGTGTGGTGTGTGCGTTGTGTGCGTGCTGCGGCGTGCGTGCGTGCGTGCTGCGGCGTGCCTAATGATGTATGCATGTATGCATTATTTATGTATGATATTAAATATATATACTATAACTAGATATATGATTAAATATGCTATATGATTGTGATATATTATATAGACTGTCAGTGTGAGTGCATGGCACTATATCATTGCTGTGTTTACAGGGGTTCAGTGTACGAGCCGGTGTCTTGATGGATTCTGGGGAGCTAGCTGTCAGACAGAGTGTGCCTGCGCTAACAATGGCTCGTGTGACCCTGTGAGTGGGAAGTGTCTCTGTCAGGCTGGCTGGACTGGAGCCAACTGCAATCAGGGTGAGTGCGCGCCATGTGTGCGTGCGTGTGTGCGTGTGGGTGTGTGTGCGTGCGTGTGGGTTGTGTGCGTGCGTGTGTGCGTGTGGGTGTGTGTGCGTGCGTGTGTGCGTGTGGGTGTGTGTGCGTGCGTGTCTTCATCCGTCGTTGATTGGTGTCGACATGTAGCGTTCTCTTGTTATGTTTTTCTGTGTCTGTCTGTGTGTTTGTCTCTCTCTCTCTCGCTCTCTTTCTCATCGCCTCTTTCCGGCCTCTGTTCGCTAGCTAAAAGCTCTCTCTCTCTCTCTCTCGTTACTTGCTATCATGCTATAACTCGCTCCCTCTTCCCCCTTCTCTCTCTTCTGTGCGCTCTCTCTATCTCGATGTCTCTACCCTTGCTCCCCTCCTCCTCCTTCACTAACTGTGCAACACAACCATTTATGGTGTTGTAACTATATCTGCTGTTATAAACGCTTTCAACAGCCAACTTTACGTAGGATAGCTTAATCATTTCTAGAGATCACCGTGATGTCAATGTGTTTCGGTTTTGTATCATAATGTTGATGTGAATTCATACGTAAGCATTGTGATGATTCTATAGTAGTAGTATTCTAATAGTAGTATAGCTATAGCAGTGTTTCACTCGGTACACCATTTTAGCCACGATTAACATAGAAACTTGCACCTGTATTTGTATCAACTGTTATGAACTCACGTCGTGTGAAAGCACTTAATCTTTGTTGATTTTTCACTCGCTCGTGATTCGCTCAGCACAGTTTTTTCGTCGTTCACGCTTGTCGTTTGCTACACTACAGTCTGCTCGCGCCGCAACTACGGTCCACACTGCGCACTCACGTGTCCCGCGTGTGCCCACGGTGATGGGTCATGTGACCCTGTTAGCGGACAGTGCCCCTGCGCGCCGGGCTACACTGGTTTTGACTGCACCGACGGTGAGCAATAAGTGTAGTAGCAGCATGAACACTGAATGACGTGATCACGATCAGTGACATGGAGATAGAGAATAAAAACTAAAAAAACTAGTAGTAGGCATGCATGAAACACGTGAGATACTTGTATTGCGCACAAAAGATTCCACGCTCCCTCCCACTCTGCCATTATCGATGATCATTTGCAGTACGTTACATAAATACATTGTAAACAATTAAGTCACGTCGACCTAAGGTCGTAATGATGTGAAATGATTTCAAATTAATGAATAAAGTTACGATTGCTATTCACAGTTATTCGTTGTATGATTAACCACTGTTGGTTCATCTAAACCCACCTTGCTACTGAGCTGTACACATTCCGTGATTAACAAACAGCTCTAGCCAATAATTATTGTGTTAGGACACTATAAAAACAGTACTTGGTAACGAAGTCCGGCCAAGTTGACATTTTGGCATGCATATGCATGTAATACCGCTTACAGGCCGGTCAAGCTTAACAGACCTAACAAAAATATCGAACAATTGGTCTGTATCTACGAGATTAGGTTGTGTCCCGATGGCACCATCTGACCATAGCACACGTGTTCAATCGATTACGTCCTGGGCGACCGACGTGCATGTGACCGCGTGTTCGCTTGTTTCAGCATGCCCGGCAGGTCACTACGGCGCCCTCTGTGCAGAGATGTGCACGTGCGGTGGCAACACGACGCGGTGCGATCACGTGACGGGCGAGTGCCACTGCCTGCCCGGCTGGCTGGGACATGACTGCTTGCAGGGTGAGTGTACACAGCGATCACATGCTCATGTGCAGGCATCTCCACAAGGGGGCGCTAGTCCTCACATGGCGTCGTGATCTTATCATGAGCTGGGACTCGTGTTAATATTGGTTGAGATTTCACTATGAGAGGGCGATAGCACCAACATGGCATCGTGATCTCCTCCTGATTCTCGCGAATGGTGGCCAAGGTTTCACTATTAAGGTGCGATAGCATCTCTATGTGGTGTCACAAGAGAGGTCGTGATTTGAATAGAAGGGGGAGATTGCATAGGCAGAGGGCTGCATTTTCAACACTAGGGGGTGCTGGAGTGGAATGGAATCACTGATTTGATATTAGCACGTGGCTTTAATTCGTGTGCAGTGAAGGATTTGGATAATTTTTTGGATTAGATTGTTTGTGCACAGTATGGCACGTCCTGTACATATGTTACGTGACGAAAGATGTTGCAGTAACAATATGCTAACGACACCCATGGTCATAACATGTGGCAGTAGCAAGATTGCAACCTTGTGAGTTGACTCTGTTTTTCCTGAGTCTACCCTGCTTTCTCTGAGTTTTCCTGTGATCCTGACTGTACCCTGTGTTCTCTGAGTTTTCCTGTGATCCTGACTGTACCCTGTGTTCTCTGAG